TTTCCTTGTACTTGTAGATGCATGTCATTTTCTTTACAGTTTTCCTCATAAGTCTTTTTTATCCCCATGTGTTGCTTTTACATTTCTCTGTCTCCTGTATTTACATTACCTCATGCATTTCTCATTATGTAAATAAGGTGGGCGGTCCTTCTTGGGTCAGCTCCTCTCCTGTTGGTTAACAAACAGGAAAGAGCAGGATCCACGTGCAGATCTACTGGGCATATTTGTGCTGCCTAAACTGAGCTTAAAGTTTAAGGTTTGAAAACAAAAGCAAGAAGGAAAACACTTACTTCTTGTGTGACTTTTAGTAGAAAATAAAAATTACATCTTTTCTTTTGAAGCATTTGAAGAAGTGTCAGTAATGTTCACTTTTTTTAAGTTACTGAGTTTAATGCCACCGGCAGTATTGTTCACYAGTGAACAAAAATATTCTTTCATTTGGAAAAAATATCATGATCATTCCAAATTGCTCAAGAATTAATTATGGGAAGACATGAATACAAAAATAAACACACCATCCTKCTGGTCACATTTCCTGCACATATCCACACCTGATCAATAGTCTAAATTTAGTGGGATAATCATCCCTCGCCACTGCAAACCGATACGCCTGTCAGACTTGCAGTCTCAGGCTAGTTCAAGGGGAGTGCAGAGGTGTTTGTGTTCATGCTGAGCTGACTTACATGCAAGCCTGAAAACTCAGCGTTGACCTTCATAGGCTGCCTCTAAATTCATCGGGGCGATGTCAGGAGACACCCAAAGCGTAACCTATCATGGAGGTGTGGACTGTGTGTGTGGACGGATGTGTTTTTATTTCACCAAGCCAGCAAAGTCTAAGAAAATTAGAAAAGTATCGAGAAACATTTCTGGAAAGTCACACAGCGYCTTCAGATTTTTGAGAATATGTGAGCAAAAGTTATGACCAACAGAAGTTACATTTTGACAGCAGGTTATAATTGTAAAAAAAAAGTAACAGTAAATTTCAGAAAACATGCTTGACGTTTCCATGGCAGAAGAAAGGGAGAAAAAAAAGAGATTTGTTATAATTTTACTGACTGAGTCAAACGTTCACACATCTTTAATAAAGTCATTAAGTTGTAGTCTGACAGAAAAACCAATCTGTTCTCAGCTGTGTCTCATATCTGTTCTGTTGATCTGTGTCTCTGWGGATGTACAAACCTCTCACTGTATACACTGAGATCACTTTTCATTGTGGATCCTTTCCAAACTGTTCTTTGGGACCCTCTCTGGAATTTGTGTTGACATACTTAAACCATCAGAGGGCAGCAAAGTCTAACCACCAATCACCATCTCTGTTWAATTCAAATGAACTTCAGGCCAGGATTTAAACTCATCTTTATGTGTTCACTTTTTAACATTTTGAATTAAAAACATCATTAAAACATCATCACAATTAAGTTGACCTAAAATGTATTGCTTAAACTTGGGGACAGGGCTAAGAGTACTTCTCATTCTTATAATGAGTGTGAGAGAATGAGTGTAACAAATTTAAAACTTAATATGAGTGAATGATTGAAGAGGTGAGTGGCATGTGAAGCACTGTTGTACCAGATTTGGGAGAGTCAAGAACTGCATGATTAACCACTCAAGTCACACTTGTACTCATTGATTTTACACAGATAAATTTAACAAAATTTAAAACTGTAGGAAAAAAGCACAATTAAAAAAACTCTAGGACAACAGAACATTTTAGAAGTATAAAAAAGGTTACAAAGGTCAYTGATGTTTTTCACACAAACTCTGCTGCTGTTTGAGAAGTTGACTTGGATCAGCATGAAGCTGACTTGGCTGTCAGTTCTCCATCCATTCTTTCTTGTTTTTTGCTGTGTATACAATGTTCAGACTAGTGTATTTTCTTTCAGAATCAATTTATTGTGGACACACACACACATAAAGCAAACACACAGCTTTTAGATTCTTACTCTTCTGAGTACCAGATTCTTTATTCAACTCATCAAAAGCACAAAAACTGAGATTTTTTATAAGCTTGAGGTCTGTGTTGATTAAAGACGCTATAATTGATACAAAATTAAGCTCAGAAGCTGAATTCATTGTCCCTGTGGGGGTAAAAAAACATCAAAAGCAGATTTTAAAAGACATTTCTTGATAAGCTATAGATTACTGGCAAATGTGTTTAATTAGAAGCTGGAAACTAAAAAGAGGAATACAATTAGTGAAGAAACTATTTAACAACATTTTTCCCTGGTGAGATCTCGGCTAATTAAGAGTTTGAATAGGTCATCTATAGATAAAAGTGGTTCTGTTGGCTAAATACACATGGGAAAAACCTGCAATGATTCTTCTTCCCTTATTACCTTTGAAGAAACATTATCAGGTAACTATTGCAAGACAAGCAACTGGTTAAAGCATGTTCTTTTACAATAGCCTCCTTTGAGCAACCTAACATCTGTCTGCCCCACCACCTCCGTCAGATGGCTCTTCTCAGTGCTCACCTGCAAACAAAGTGGCCTTATAGTTCGATGTCCTTCCATCTTGCTCTTTTTTTGTCCATCACCTCACTGCTCACATACCTGTCCAATAATCCCATCTGTCCCCCCTCCCAGTGGCCTTTACCCTTCCACTGTCCCCTRACTTTCCTCCC